AGGCTCTGTCTGGCCCGAGGGAGGAGATAATGTGGAGTTAAACAATTCTGTGAGAGTGGAGGACTGAATCTTTCCGTGGCTGCAGTTTCCATCAAGCACTTCCCAGCACAGTTGCCTGCCATCCCTTTGAACCCATGTCTCCCATGTGACAGAGCAGTGATCTGGCTGCTGAGCCACTAGACTAATATTGTTCTTTTAATCTCACAAAAATGTGTTATAAAAGAGTTGGATTCACATGAGAAATTAAGTGTAAGATTTGTCCTCATAAAGACATTATACCATGAATGCTCTCTTTCTGCTGGCTGTAAGAATAGGTGGCTCAAGGGTGAAAGGGTAGCATTTACATTTAAATACACCTATTGGAATTGCACAAACAGAAGGCTAAAGCTACTGCTCCCTCTCTGAATGCTTTTAGAGTTTGCTGCTTTTTTTACATAGTAGCATCTTTTTTTTTTTTTTTACCTAATCAAAAAGGGAAATCGAGATGCTTAACATCCCATAAAATAAAGTAAAGGAGGTCTTTGTGCCAGCAAGATAAATGGATGAGCCTTTTCAAAGTAATTATTTTACTTTTTTCATCTGTATGTGCCACTCAGGAGGTGAAAACCAGATTTCAACCAGAACTTTCTCTGCTGTTGCACTAACTGGTAGTGCTGGCTGGGTGGATGCTGTTTACATTTCCCAGAGAAAATGAAATGCACTTTTTTTTCTTTTCCTTTTTTTTTTTTTTTTTTGTATCTGCCAAACCCAGATTTACCCTGTGATAAAACAGAAAACTTCTTAACATCTGGAGAAAACAGAACCTGAAACAGGGTGGGAAGGGCATTTAATGCAAGGGTAGCCTGGCAGCCATGGTGCAAGCTCAGTGAAACCCTTGAAATGCACCTGCTTGACCCAGGCCAGGGCTTATTCCTTTATTCCCTTTCCTCTCCAACAGCTTTCTCCCCTCTGTACAGTGACAGAGGCTTATGGACTGGAGTTGCAAAAACTCTGGGCTTACCTTTGCTCTTTAGAATTTCTGATTGAAGAAAAGAATAAAACGAAAAGAAAAAAAAGAAAAAAAAAAGTGTGATTTTTCTTCAAATTTTTGATGTCTCTTTTATCATGATTTTCCACTACGCATACAAGGTCCAAAACCAAAAGTGCATTAATAAATGCCTTAAAATTACAATGTAGTTGGAAATCAGGAATCAGGAGCTCCATGCTGAACAATTTTTGCACATACTGCCTGAAATGTATTGAATTACTACACAACATATAGCTAATAAGACAAATCATTAAACATGTTCCAGACACCTCTGAACATTTAAGAACTTGAAATCCAGATCTGTATGTGCCAGTTTCTTAATATGTAGTTAATCATTTTTCCATTGAATATGTACACAAATCTGCTACTTTTATATATAACTTGGACAGTGAGGAATATTAAGTAATTAAACCAAAAATAATCCAATGATATGAACTTTGGAATCTCTGCAGAGTAAAATAATCCCATCATCAAAATACATTCAAAGAAAGGAAGAGTGCAGGAATCCATAACACCACGGTCAGTATCCCTTTAGGGGTCCTTGTATTTAGAGCATATCTGACTGTATTTCGTTTGGGTTTTTTACAGTTTTGGCCTATACAGCACTGAATGTCTGTATAAAACAAAACAGTGTGTCCCTTGTGCTCCTTGTCTAGCAAGTACTAGTCCTCCTAGTAAGTCTTCCTAACTTTTATGGTTTAAGAAGTGCTGAATAATTTTTTTCCTGTATAATTTCTTGATTTTTAATAATTTAATGTCAACTACTCATCAGTCATCTTTTTTTTCCAAGTCAAGGAATCCTCTGCCCCCTAAACTCTCCATGTAGAGAAGCTTTTCCACATGTCAGATTATTCTTGTTGCACCCTGCTTTAGCTCTCCTCCTTCTGCTGTGCCTTTTTGGAGGTGAGGGGCCAGAGGTGTGCTCAGTAGTCACTCTGAACATCCTCAGCATTGTTGTTCTTCCCCTCAAAAGGACTCTTGAAGTGCTGTGTGCTGTCTGACTGCTAGTGAGCATTGGGATGATATTCTCTTGGAGTTTAAAGGTCCATTTTAAGGAGGACTTATCCCCATGGCCCACAGATTCATTGGGCCATATTACCTGAATTCAGAGGACTTTATGTTCTCTGCAGGGCAGTTTAGACAACCTAAATTTCATACCTGTGTTTCGAACTTAGATTGCAATCAATGTGCCTTGGTGCTCCCGAAGGAGAAATCCCTTCCAGCAGCTAACAGTCAGTATTATGTGTCTCAGCCCATTGAAAATTTAACCAAAAATTGTCTTCTGAGTAATAAAATAGAAAGTAAAGCCCATATTCAAAAAGTAGAGGGGATGGTAGATGTTCTGAGGTTCTGCTTCTTGGCCTGTTTCCAGTTTTCAGTAGTAGTGTAACATAAAATGCAAAGTTTTTTCCAAGAAAAAGAACCAGAATCAATCTACTACCACTATTTGAGAGGTAAGCAATTTTTCTTGTTTCTGGAGAAACCTTGTCAGGTTTCTCTTCCAGGTCAAAGAATTCCTTCTTGTAGTTACTTGTAGTTAGTTTTGGGTTTTCATATCGTTAGACTGTGGTCAGAAGATGGTGCAAGTTGCTGTTTGAGGTTAGAATCAGACACCTCCATTCAAGTTCAGGCAATATTATTGGATATGGGCAGAGAAGTTACTGAGGGTTAGAAGTTACTAAAAGTTTAGTATCATGAAATTATATCAAGCATAGCTCAGCTACAATCAAATATTTATTTCCTAGTTTGAGGCTCTCATTTTACGCTTTAAATGAATAAAATACAGCCTGGCCAAACACAGGTTGTGAGACAAGTGGAAGTTCTCCTTAGAGGTTAACAACCTGATTTCTCTCTCACACCAGTTTTACGGTCATTTAGCTCCATTGACTTTGGTGGAATGAGTCCTGATTTATAGCACTGCTTTGCTGCAGGTTTAAAGCTGTGCTGCACAGTAGCAGTGCTGGTGTCAGGTCTTTGGGAGCAAAGCGTCTTTGCATTGTGCTTGCCACAGTGGTATCAGTTCTGAGGCCATAAAGAAAATATTTATTAAATCTACATCCATAGAGAACATATTCGGCAAAAATTATTTTGGTTTCTCATTTGTGGCATTATTTTATCATTTAATATTGGTTATGAGGTTTGTTGGTTTTTTTTTTTCCTCCAGCGATTTGTCACTTACCAAGGTAATCCTGGGGTTTCAGATCAGAAATATAGATCAGAAGTTTACTAAGTCCATATTTGTGCATAATTTTGGTTGGAATACCTACCATCAAAGTGAAATCTAAAAAATGTTGTTAAATTTAAAAACAGAAGCCCAGGAACTAAAAAGATAGAATTAGTAATTTTAGGCATGGCTTGGAAATTAGTTTACCTCCTGTCATCTCTCCTACGTATGATTGTAAGTTTGCACACAATGGACTACCATTTCTTCAATTTAATGTGCACCACCGTAGGAGGTCTTCTGTGCTGCTTTTCTTACCTCATATTGACTTCCTAGTGCAGAGTAGGCAGGAAAAAACATCTGAGTGAATGCATCTGATCAAGCAATGAGAATCTGTGCTCTTAGCTTGACTCATGTTGAGACAAAATACTGTGGGAAAACTGAGCACAATAAACTTTCAGTCTGCTCCTCTGCTAGGTAGATACAGCCTTGCCTGCTGGAGTTCTCCTTTAGGATCTTAAGCTCATGGAGGCTGAGGATATAGAAGAGCACATGTGCTTTTGATGTCTCTCTGGTGTACTGATTAAATTGCCAGAGCTCACTTTTCAGAGTCCTTAGTCTGTCACTGGGAAGCTGTAGAATGATCTTCCCTATGAGCCAGCCATTGTCCTCTTACCCAGTGCAATGGCCATACTCTTTGGAGAAGAGATCAGCTCTCTTTCCCCTTAACACAATCTAAAGTGTGGTAGGAACATCAGGAGGGCAGGGCAGCATTAAAAAGAAGGATTTGTTTCCTGAGAGATGGCATTGTTTCTCAGTTCCCAGCAGCAGAAACTTTAAACTAATGACCTTTCCAGAACATGTAAGCCAGCTGAGCCCAAGACTCATGTTCGTTTTGATGATTTGATATTTTGTTATGAACATTTCTAGCAGGGACAATGTTTTGCAACATCATATTAATGATAATAATAAATGAAACCATACTCCCTTTTCTGCCCAAAAATCAACCTCCGCCGTGGTTATTTACCCAATGGGTCTTGTGGGGCTTCTCAGCTTTTACAGTTGTCAGGCTCAGTGCAAGACAGACCCTGACGAAACAACCAGGTACCTGTAGTGCCACTCCTGTGTTTCTCTTCCTCCCCCTCACCCAAATCCTTACTTTAGGGAGGGAGCAGATATTTTTTTCTTATGTGCCTGGCTTGCTGGGAGAGCCACATAGCTGTGGTCTGTTTGCTCAACATTAGCTGTGCTGCCCAAGTGTGAAAGCAAGCATGGAGCGTAGATTCTCTCAGACTTCTGTGGGATCTGGAGCAGATCCATGAGTAATGCTACTGTTTTCAGCACTTCCCTTGCTCTGCCTAAGACCAGGCACACTGAGATATGAATGTTGTTACAGCTGCCACATACTATATATAAGCCTCATGTTGATGATTATTGCTTTAAACTAGGAGGTCTTTGTTTAAAAATGTTTTCTTCCCTCTAGAATCTACTAGGTTGAGTTATAAAGTAATGCTTTCTATTTTTATTACTGTTAGCAGTGTACCGGCAAATTACATAGTATCACAGTTCATATTTATAAAAAAATACAGTTTATTTATTTATTTGTTTGTTTGTTTATTTCTTGTGCAGACAGATTTATAGTACTGGAGAACTAGCCCCAAATTAATTGAAACAAATTGGCCTATTCATTTTTCAATTGTTCATATCATTTTCTGTTTTGGTTTCTTTATTACTTCTCGTGGATCTGTTTCGATCCACTCCCTCAATTATAGTGCTTTTCTTTAAAATATAATGAACTCTGTTGCATTTCAGAGAGCTGCATGGTCAACTCATGTCACTTCTGTCACCCTGCTGAATGCCACGTCACGCTGCCAATGCTTGGAAGCACTGACTGCTGGCTTCTGCAAGACTGGAAGGAAAGGAAGACCTGGACACATTGACTACATCTCAACTATTAAACAAAATTAGTCAGAGAATTTTCCTGGAGGCCAACTGGCATGAAATAGCTTGAATCCACAGAGCTAAACTCTCTTGCCCTCAAATCACGGTGGCCACATCCAAAGTATCTATTGGAGATGGTGCCTGACCTGGGTCAATACCCAAGCTGTGCTTTGGCATTGTCTGGAAGAGCATTACAGGCTTGCACCAAAGCCATGCCAGGGACCAGTTTGGTGGTATGGATGGTTTCAGGCCCATGCCTTGCTGGTCTTGTTTAGTTTATTTAATGTCAGAGGGAAACCTCAGTAATTCTGCCAGGAGTCAACAGGAAACCCCCTTCTGGCCTCAGCAACCAGAAGCTGCTGAGAAGTATAATCATTAGTTGTTCACCTCCTTCACATTTGGATTCTTTTTCTCATTTTATTTTTTACCAAATGAAGCCTGAAAATATTTGGAATCTCATCGAGTAATAAAATTGGGTTACTGTCTGCACAAAACTTGTTGGTTTTGAACTACCAAGAGATTTTGCACATAAGCTGACCTTCTGGAAAAGCCAGTTTCAGCTCTCCTCCCTGATGAAGGGTCTCCTATGGCTTTGAGCAAGTTGCTAAGAGCTTGTGTGACCAGTGCCCTGTTTGGATATAGGGGTAAAAAGCAATGAGGTGCTGAGATACAAACACACCATTTGCTTGGAGTCACATAAGCATGCTGAACTGATGTGAACATAAAACTCCCTTTGATTTCTGTGGCAACTTATTTCACATGTCTGGGAAGGCAATTTATTTTAAACCCTGCAAAAAGGACATTGAGTATGTTGTTATATCAAGATCTTTTCAAAGTCAGAGCTCTGGGGCTGGGTTTGGATAAGCCCGAAATGTCCTTCATACAGTGGGAGGTAGTGGAGAGCTTGTTCTCTGTGTTTCGAGAGCTAACTCTGTGCAATGGTACCCCAGTTATCCCATGGAACACTGTACTTCACAGTACAGTGTTATACTTCTGCCTGCAGCAATATAAATCAGAATCAGGCAATTCATGCCTGAATCTTTTTCCCTATTCTGAAGATAAATGGCAGTGAAGGCCGAGTAGTTTTAAAGAGCTCATCGTACAAAATTATTGTATTAGGCCATGCTGTATTACTGAGATTACAGAAAATTACCTACGTGTATTGAATTAAACCCTGATTTTCCAATGATCTCAGCAGCAGCAGCAGAACTGGGACAATTTAATCACTGCATTATCAGTTTGGTAGATAACTACTATCCTGAATTGCTGCTCAAAATGAAAAAATGGTATTGTTTTATCCAGAAACTAGCCCTTAATTAACTTCCAGCACTAGCACTTTGCTCAGACCTCAGGCATATATTTGAATTTCTGAAGCTGACAGGTACTGATTTCAACAACATTTAGAGCAATGCATGTTTTGCCTCAGGTTTGCTACAGGGTGAGTGTTCTCTTAATTAATGTGGTCATTTGACATACAGCACCTTGCTGAACTATTAGAACTTGACTGTGTGCTTTTACCCAGTGTTTCTTTTTGGTTAAAAGTCTGTTTCATAATTTACCTATTCATGGATCAGTCTCATAAAGGAGGTTGTAGAGCCCTACACGTGTGTTGTCATACCTTGCTGAGGCTGTACAAATCTTATTTAATGAAAATGTTATGAAGCAAAGAATCAAGTTGTTGCCCAGAATACTCAGAATACTCAGAATACTCAGAAATTGGTATGTTTTTCTCTGAGCTGGATTTTGAACAGCAGGAAGTATGGCAAAGCAGAGGAGGAACATTTAACCTTATCTAATTTTGCCTCCCTTTTCCTTCCCTTTTCTGTCTTGCCCCTCAATCTTCAAGCACTCTCCCATGGATGCTTGCATATGGCAGTGGCTCTACTCAGACCTACTGAGACCAGTGTATCAGTTAAGGTTTGTAAGACCATAATTTGTTTATTTTTGCAGTCTGATCTTGTGAGAAACTGAGGAGGTCTTGCATCTCCCTCCTACTGATAACAGTGGTGTTGAAAGAGCTCAGTGCATTCCAGGGCAAAGCCTTGGAGGCCGTGGGTTAGAGAGCTGCTAACTCTCCTTTGGAAGTACATGCAGATTCCTTTGGCCTTCACTGGGGGAAAGCCTGGCTCCCCACTAAAGAAAAAGAAAAGAAAACAATGAAAATCTAAGACACAAACCCCCAACACAATAGTTGCGGTGGTCCAAATAAAACACAAAACCCCCAGTCTCAGCCCAAGCACTCAGTCTAGGGAGGCTTTGGAATTAGGGGCTCGAAGCTTGACCCAGGGATGAGTCCATGGTCTCTTTGTGGGAGAAGGGTACAGGCTCTGGCCATGCTCAAGTGGGCTTTGGTGTGCAAGGACATAGCCAAGTGGCCTGGGCTGGTAGTCCCAGCCTGCTGGCTCAGTGCTCATTCACCCTGCACAGGCTCTGAGCTGTGCTCGGCACCATCACCCCAGGCTTCATCTCAGGCTCTTTCTGACCCTCTTTGGCTGTTTTAAAGCTGGATCCTTTCAGCTTATATTCTCCCTCAAACAATTCCCTCTCCTCCCCCCCACCCCTTCTCTACTTCCACAACTGAACTCACTTTTCCAAACTGCCCATTCCACAATCTATCCACTCCATATGTTTATATTTTCCTATTGCTGAGGCACGGCATGCTGACCTGCCTGGACAGAGCTCCTTTATCACAGAGATAAACATGATGTCCCCCTCACATAGAGTTTCTATCATGTGTGACCTTTCATCTTGAACTTCCATGACCTTTTTTTTATTAATGCTGTACTGTGCTGCTTGCAGAAGCCAGGAAAGAAAATCTTTTGTTTCTAGATAGAATACTGCTAAAGGACATGATACGGTCTTGTTTTTAATCCAGCTAATTAAAATCTGCATGTGCAGTGTAACTGAGAATGCAGCCTTCGCCCACCACTTTCCCACAGGCAGGGAATAAAGGCCTTTAGTGCAGCAGCAGCTAGCCACCCTTGGATAACAGAGAACAGAGACCACAATTCATCCCAGCTTTCCTTATCATATTCGCAGAGGGCTTTCCCCTCCCTCCCTCCCTCTTTCCCTCCCCCTCTCTCTCCATGGAATCACTTACTGTAGCTATGTGCCTCTATATATCACTGCAGAATGTAATCAAGTTAAAAATATGTTAGCTTGCATTTATCTATGCTCCAGTGAGCTTCAAATATAATTCATTTCTAGTAAAAAAAAAAAAAAAACAAAAAAAGAAAGAAGGGGGGGTGGTGGGAAGGGGGAGAAAGAGAAGGAAAAAGAAAAGAGAAAGCGACTATTTCTAATCAAATGTCAACCCTACTTATTTTAAAACAGTTTTGCCAAGAACTAAGTGAATATCACAGTTTAGCAGTTCACACTTTTGTATGTTCATTAAGTTGACTTTTTTGGATGTGCTGGATGGTTGTGGTTATTACTAAAGCTGCCTTTTGTGTGTGTCAGGGAGAGGGTGCCATGGGATTTTTTCTTATGAAACATTTTCTTGGTTAGTTTTTCTCTTGGTGGTTTTTGTTGGGTAACTGAAGTGGGGAGGGAGGAGGAAAAGGAGGGCAGCCTGGTGGGAAGGAGCAGTGAGAGCAGAATGGGAAGCATTAAAATTGAGCCCCCACCTGTTTTCTCTTTCTTCAAGTCATGTTTTATATGATGATGATGAGGTCATCAGGATGCATAAAAATGTGCCAGGAGATTCAAAACTTGGAAGGAGATTGTACAACATGAGTAGAAAATACATTTGAGTGCATGTGCAGAATCCCTTCCCCCAGAGAAGCACACAAACAGGCTTTCTGTGGTCATTCCCTGGTAACCCGCACAAAGAGCTGCTCAAACAGCTGTGCCTTTGGCTGAGCACCATCCATGGGGCTGCTGTGGAAAATGCTGATTTTGGGGCATTAACTTCCCCAACACAAATTCAGAGAAATATACTTACAGTTATTAATGGAAGGGATTGTGAATCCTGAATAAATATGCGCCGTGTTGGAAAATTATTTCCTTTATTTATCGTAACAAAAGATTCATATGTACGTTGTACTCAGGGAATGATTAAAGGTATATGAAAAAGCAATGTTTTGAATTCCAATACAGCTTATTAGGTGACATCAGTCTAACTAAATTACCTGACACCACATTTTAAAAATATCTAAATATTTTGATAACAGAGAACAGTACGATTAAAAGATGTCAGAAGTACCATGCTGCCTATATATTAAAATATGCCGCGTTGATCAAGCACAAGATTACTTTTCATAAAAATTTGATTATCTTATGCTGAAAATTTTGTTATCTTATGCAAACTTAAGCAAGAATAGAGAGCTGCACACTTTTCTGCTTTTACTACCTATGGAGGGACAATATTAAATAAGAAATAGCTATTACTATACTTGTATAATTCTGATCTATTATATTTATATACCATGGCATAAGTTTTTATGTATTTTGGAATTAGTGTCAAATCAGTAGAACAGTGGTAGCCAAGAAGACATTTATATGTATTTTATCAAGTTAAACTTTTCTGTTTCTCATCTTTTGAGGAATATATTCAATAATTGCTTTTTAATAGTGACACCTACTTTGACACACTGAAAAGGTTGTTAATGTCAAGTCACATATTTGATATAAAATTACTGTTTGCATATTGCATAAGCAATATAAGATTTATGAAGCTTCATGTATTCCATTTAAGTGGGCTAATCTTAATAAATATGGCATTTTTTATCGTTGCTTAGCAGTCTTCCTTAGACGTAAAATTAATTTGTATTTTGGGGGACAATTACAATTTTTATGGGCAGAGCCAATGTTAAATTATGTCTTGTTATTCTGTGTAACTACTAACATAAATTAGGGTGGTGATTATTATTTTTGTCACTAATAGCTGTTGTTGGAGAGCACTTTTTAAGGAGAGGGCACATAACAAGAACTGAAAATCAACCCATTGCTATGTTAGTCACACATGGCAAGCAGCATGGCATAAATTCCCTCTGAAAGTTACTGAAGGATGCTGAACATCAGGGCATGCTAAAGGTCAGGCTTAATAATGGGGCATAAATCTCAGATCCCCACAGTGAACATCTAATGTAATGAAAATCAGGATGTCTTTACTGAGTCCCTAAACTGCTTTATGTGCTCACAGCTACATTCACAAAGCTTAGCTTGTGATAGGACTCAGAAGTGTGTAGGAGGTTCTTGTCAATACACTTAATGAAAAGAGGATCAAAATAACATAACACTGTAATCTCACATGTGGGACCTGAACCTGCACTTCTGATGTTCTGATTCATCTGTGTCATCAGCAACCATTTACAGGGATTCCTTGTTGGTGATTCCATGGAAAATAAGACTGTGACAGGAGGCCATACCGGAAATTTTGTATCATTTTTTTGATAGTTTTCAATTCCCTTTTCAAAACTTTATTTCAAAGTTTTCAAATTTTCACTGTTTATACATCTACTTTTTCTGCCACCTTTTTATTAACCTT